GGAGAGTGTTGTAACAAAACTACACTTACATCAAAGTCCGAATCCAACAGTGTTACATCAGAGTAGCCGACAATGACCCAAGTCACCAATGTGGTCAGGGACAGGAGGGATACCACCGGCACAAAGTAGCCTGCGATTTTGTCAGCCAGGTTCTGAATGGGGGCCTGACAGGCATAAAAAGAGGAGTCGACAATATTTCAAAAGTTAAAATGTGTAAGAGTATTAAGGCACTTGCAACACAACTGGGTCATGAAAATGTTGAAGATTAGAAGTGTTACTACATGTAGAGAGTAACATAAAAAGAAATGAAAAAGGAGAGATAAGGATGATAGAAGTTTGATAAGAAAGAAGAAATTAACTGCACCAGAGCACCCGCCAACTACCCTCTAGCCAAAAATAATCTCAACCCTCGAGTGATATCCCACAGCAGGAACACCTTAAGCACATTTAAGTATTGCACTGGGAAACAAAATTTTTAAAAACGATAAGAAATCAAATGAATCAAAAACAATTGCTACCCTAAGACCACAGAATAATCCTCAACATCATTAATTAAGACAAAATTTGAAAAACTAACTAATTGATTAAAGTTCAAATTAACAGAAGTACAGTTGAACCAGCTTTAATGGCCACCTGTACACGACAGACACCTGTACCAATAATCATTTCCTACTTCCTGTCTTGTGATTTGTAAATATTGCAATGACACTGACCAAGACGTCCATCCGTCTAATACAATGACTTATCCCCATGACAATGGACGGCCGTCTTGGATAATTCGACAGAACTGAAGACTGAACTAAAAAAAGGGGGCCCATTATATTTGTATGAGTAACATTTTTTGGGTTGAATCTTCCCATCATTTTCTCATTTCCTCATAAATCAAAGACAAGTCTTCATAGCCAAATTATGGGGGGAATCTAAAAATATTTTTATCTATCTTTATCTCCCCATCCTTTCAAAAGACACAATGAACCAGTCATGTATCATTTGCCGAGCCTGCAAGCTGTCGTTTTATCAAAATTCTTGCTACAGCTGCCCACCTTGGAGGTCTGTGCTTCCTCCACTAGTTTGACAATCTGGCTGAGCGTTGTGTCGGCTCCCACATAGGTTGCTTCCACCAGCAGCATTCCATTCTGGTTGATGCTGCCACCAATGACAGATGATCCTGCATTGAGGATAGAGAGACAAAAGTAAAGTTGAGTCTGCTCTAACACAGTCACCTGTCCAAGACAATCACATACATAAATGATCACCCCCCCCCCCTCGTCCCCCTAGGTTAAAGCATGGAAAAGCAAAATGATGATACAGAGCAAAGTACATTGCAGTCTGCAGCTTAAACCGAAAGTTCTGAGACCGCCATTTTATCTTCGGTTGAGCTGTGTTTTTGGTTCAGAGAGATTGCTTAAATGGAGAAGAAAAAGACTGAAGATTCTATTTTCTTTCTGTTTACCACTGTCTTCAGATTACACATATTCAGGTTATTTGTTTTGTTTTAGAAGAGGTTTTACGGCGCTCGCAACTGCATAAGGTCATATGAGCGCCAGACGATTAGAGGTGTTACAAGGGAGTAACAAAAAAAAAAAAGAAGGAAGGGAGAAAAAGATGATAGATATTTGATAGGAAAGAAGAAGCAAACCACACCAGAGCACCCACCAACCACTCACACATTCCGGTTAAGAGGACTCCATTGCATTTAAGACTTCACACTCAACTACAAGGCCTCGGGCTGACGGCAATAAGCATGAGGGCTAGTGGTGGATAAACACCAACAGCAACAGCCGCACACAGCAGCAACAATAACAACAGAATCAGCAAACAGCAACAGCAACATCAGCACACAGTAACAACATACAGCACCAACTCACCGACATTCTTGGGGACGGGCATGCTCTCTCCCGTGATGAGCGACTCATCACAAGACGAGTGACCAAACACGACCTTCGCGTCCACCGGAATCTTCCCGCCAGGCACTACCTTGAGTACATCGCCGCGCTGCACAAGGTCAAGGTTGATAACCCGCTCAGACTGAATCTGGAACTTCTTGTCCACGTCCACCAGCACAGCCTCTGATGGCTGTAAGGAGATCAGTTTCGCCAAAGCCTCGCTGGTCTTTCCCTGGGCGACAGTCGAGAAACTGCACTCAACTTTCACACATTCAACAGTCCATGGTTAAACCAAAAAAACAAAGGTAAACCAAAAGTAATCCCACTTTTCTTATCTGTAAGTCAAGACAGTGCATTGTCAAGCAGACTATGGGTTGAATAAAAGCTATAAAAAAAGCATTTTACTTTTCAAAAGGGTGATGCCTCAATTAGCATTTCTCTTTCTGACAACATACAACAGTACTGCATACAGTACAGTGGAAATTGTCCAAAACAGCAACTCATTGTTCAGGAGAAAACCAGTTGTCTTACCCAGGTGGACGTCTTGGACAGTATTATTTTATGTAGAAAGAGTGGGGGGGGGGGTGTTTGTTTGTACAAGTGATTATCTTGGACAGAGCAGTCGGAGCAAGTTGGACTGTATTTCGAATTCAAGTTGATATTAAAATTTAGTGTCCTCTTTTATCTTTTTATTATTTATTATCTTTTGTCAGTATGTTAGTGTGCTAGCGCCTATAAATGGCAGTTTGCACTGTACACTTCACAGGAAGGTGAGATTGTTGCAGAATGCTATCAGATCTGCTGGGATAATAACGTATATTAAAAAGAGCACAGAGCTTGCTGTTGAGCAGGAATCTGCGCTATACATATATTATCTATTATCATTATTTTACCATTTGTCACTCTTTGTTCTGCTAGAATAGTGGTAGTCAACAAGCACTACGAAAAGCACCAGCAAGTAACTACCTTCGCAATGTGCTCCAGCCAACGCCCAAGAGAGATGAAGACCATGAGCATGGGTGTTGTTTCAAAAAATGTCACTGGGCTGAAATCTTCCCGCATAGCCATGGCAGCAACCACAACTGCAGTGGAGTAGATGTACGATATGGAGGTCGCCATGACAACCAGGACATCCATGTTGGTGGCACCGTGCTTCATGGCTTTGAAAGCTTGACTGTAGAAGTAACGGCCTCCAACAAACTGAAAAAGTGAAAATAGCCAAAGACAGTTTCTATTATCAACATGTGCTGTAAACGCCTCACAAAATACAGAAGCAAAAATTTGTTCCAGATCAAGCAGCTGATGAGCTTCGGCCCTTCTGCACAAAAGCATGTGGAATTGTTCAAAGTTTGTTTTTGAAAGTCCTTAAATTCCAGAGCAAAATTTTCAGGAAAGAGCAAAACTGATTCTTTCTTTTAAAATTTGAATTTCATTAAAATATTTCTTGAGCACATGCAACCAATACCACAGATTAATAAATTGTAATTTAAAAATTTTTTGAAAATTTTGGGCTTAGTATATCTAAACAGCTCGCCGATGATATATCAATGACACAGCAACTATTCTTTATCAAAGGAGAAATCAGTTAGCCGCATTACTAACCTGCACTGGCGTGGCCAATAAAAACATGATCAAGTTCAGCACATCGAGCCCCGGCATGACCATGATCTGGTGGTAGTGAATGTGGCTGCCCCCTTTCTTCGGACCAGAGGAGTTGGTATGGTTCATCCCTGCATGGCCGCCGTCTCCGCTGACTCCAAACATGAAGTAGATCATGGCGATCATGGAAGGCAGTCCAAAAATGAGAGACCACAGAAATGATGTGCGCCATCTGAAAGTAGAGCAGGAAAATTCATTTAGACACCCATCCACAAAAAGGTTAATGACGAAGCATATCAAAAGGAAACACAAGATAAGAGGTGTCCAGACAAACATACAGTAAGCAGGTTTTTTTCTGCATGTAACTTGAAATCGCCATTTTTTAATAAATGTTAGTGAAATATCAAAAGGAACACTACTACAACCGAACATAAGACACTGGGCAACTCAAATCGTGAATTCCAAACCTTCACCAAAAAAAAAGTAATGGGAAAAACATGGAAAGCGAGAGCACATGAACCCCCCCCCCCAAAAAATGGTGTAAAGTATTCATCATGTATGCTTCTTTATATGTATCTTAGTGTTGCTCCAGTCCTAGCCCATGGCACGGTACAGTATGGACAGACAGCTTTGCAAATGTTACATATAAACACATTAAACATATATACACATTACTCTCTATGCTAAATTACCAAATTAAGTCAAACACTTTGTAAGGACAAAAAAATGGGATTTCCTTCTCATCTTCTTCTAGTATTGCACAAAAGTTTTGTTTTGTGAAGAGTGTTCATTTAGGAAGTGTTTGACCTAATTTGGAGGATGCACAATAAGAGTCCGACATTCACGATATTAATCTCAGTACAGGCTGAGACAGTAGCGAAATCTCACCTCTTGATATCATCCCTGTGGTCATAACGTGATGCCTTTTCATTGTCATCTGACTTGAGATGAGCATCAAAGCCTAAATCCTGAAAGAAATCATTGTAAAGAATGCATAATTAAATTCAAAGACATATTCATTTCGATATCTTCATTGTTATTCTCAACTGAAAAACACTGCAGAGTAAAACGGCTCATTTCAATAGCCCATACAATGAAAGGTAGTTCAAAGATTGCAACCCTGTGAAATCTTAAGCAGACCGAACCACCAATACCATATCTTGTCAGTCATTCTCAGGTTAGACTTCAATAAATAAAAACCACCATTGCTGATAAATTAACACTTAAGACTACAGACAAGTCCAATTCAGTCCTTTCATACCCAAAGGCATAAAAAAAATCACTGAGTCTACATACAAAGAATTATATCTTGCTGATTTGTTCTCATATCAGCAGATCACAAAGGAGAACCATCATCATTCAATTTAAAATGAGTCACTCCTTTTATTGATGATCCTAACATTACAAAACAGCCCTGCAAGACTGTATTGGCTCTCCCAGAAAGTGGTTTAAAAAAATGGAATGTACAATCTCTATCAGAGTAGAATTCACACAGTGGTACTGAAAAATATTCTTTGCACCAGGACAATGAACAAGAGGAGGAAAAACGTCAGAAAGGGGTGGGGGGAGGGGGGGGGGGTACTGAAGAGTCTCTTTTTACAGAATCAGAAGTCATAACTGAACCTTGCTTAACAGCTGGCTTTTTCATTCCAACTTTGAGCCTTGGCAAGTGCGACTTTCCTTCCCATCACATCCAATTTAACAGATCTGACTAACAGATTTATCAGTCCCAACCTAATATATCAGATTTGACAAACCAAACCCAATTTCACAGACAGGATTATTCGTATAAGTGCACACTATATGCGGGCAGTATTTCATACAGATGTGGGTAATTTTTGGCAACTTTTGAGATACATCTGTATGCTATACTGCCCGTGTATATGCAATACTTGAACCAGAAGGAAGCACTGTACACAAATGTATAATAACCTTCCAAACAACTTACTTTGATAGCTTCTATTATGTCTCTTACTCCCGTAGCCTCAGAGTCAAAGGTAAATTTCCCTGTGGAGGTTGCCAAGGCAACAGATGCCGACAAGATTCCTGGTTTTCTCTTGAGGTGAGACTCAATGTGGTTGACACAAGAAGAGCATGTCATGCCACTGATCTGAAATGCAACAGAGAAAATTTTCAAAAAAACCCACATAACAAGATAAATGTAGAAGTACAGTACACTCAGCCCATTAATGCTGATTGTGGTTTGCATTTTATGGTGAAAAAGCTCAACAACAGAATCATTTTGAAAGCAAGGAAAAATGAAGCCCCGAAAACATAAATTGAAGGAGTAAAAAACATTAGAGCCCTCATCACACACAAAAAAAATCCAAACAATCAAAAACTACCCATACCCATAAATGATGCAACAGCTTTGTCCAGTTATATCATACCTTATCATAGAGGTTAAAAATAAATCAAAGCTGACAGTATCAATATCAATATTTGTTTCAACGTCAGTTTGGGAACTCAGCACCATAGAAAACACAAAATCTCTGTACTCTCCTGATGTAGCTACGAGCCAGAAGCACACCTTTGGCTAGGACGTTATTGACCCACATACCAGTTAAGGTTTATGTGTGGGGACTTTTGACTTCACTCTGCCCACTTCTAGCACTCAGAGGAAAAATTTGCCCCACACATAATCAATTTTATAGACAATAATTCTGGAACTCCTTTCCCATGAACAAAAACAAAAAAAGAAAAAAACAACTGAGCCAAACGTTTTTGAATGTTAACTCTTGGAAACTACAGTAAAATGATATTGTTAACCAGTATTTTCACTTTTTTTTAAAGGAGACAACTGCTTCACCAAATTATATTATTTTGCAAATTTGTTTTCTGTCATTTGTGAAAAAGTTGCTCGTGCAAGAAAATGAAAATGTTTAAGAAATGGGAGAGAGTGCAATGAAAAACTAGCATCTATTTAAACAATCCATGGACAATCACTTACTGTTAGCTCCACCAAACCTTTGCCCAAGGATTCCCCTTCAGCCACAGAGGCAGCGAATCCAAGTTCTTCAATTTTATTGGCAATTTGACTCGGGAGGATGTAGGCTGGGTCAAAAGTCACCTCTGCCCTTTGAGCCATCAGCGATACCAGAACATTTTTTATACCTGATCAGACAAGGAGCAAAAACTTAATTATACAACTTAATTTGCAAAAGAAACATATGTTATGTTTAAGAATAACAGCAAATAATGTAATGGACATGAAAAGCATTTAGGAACTGACAGAAACAGAAATTAGGAGATATAAATAAACTCTCATGGGCCTTTTAATATCAAATTTAAGGAAGATGCAAGCACAGATTCTGAAAACACATAAAATAAAAGATGTGATATTATATCTCCAAGCTTCCATTACAAATGGTTGAATGGCTTTGAGAAAAATTTTTTTTCAAAGTTGTAAGGTCAAGGAATCTCAATGATCTGACCTTAGAATGCTTCACTTGATTGATCTACATTTTGTTAACATGACTGAGATAGAAACTTTAAAAAAAAAGGTCACCTATAGGGCAAAAAGCAGAAATACAGTTGAACTCTTACTATCACCTGTCCAAGACAAATCACCTCTACATTTTAGTGACACTATCAAAGAGGACCAACAGACTAAGATGACAGGTTTTCTCTACAACAATGACAGGTCATCTTGGACAAGTTAGATTGTAAAGTGATGCTAAAGAAGACAGACCTTATAATAATAATAATAATAATAATAATAATAATAATAATAATAATAATAAATAGCATTTGTATAGCACATATCCCCACTCAACAGCAAGCTCTATGCGCTTTACACTCAATATTATTACCCTAGAAGACCATAGAACACTCAGCAACATTCTTAACTTCCCAGGAACCATACGTGCAAGCAGTTGATTAAGCGCTCAAACACTAACAAACTGACAAGATCTCTCACTGTCTATAGCTGGGTACCCATTCCCACCTGGGTGAAATGAGAAAAATTTGGGTAAAGTGCCTTTCCCAAGGACACAACGTCAGGCCCCTGATGGGATTCGAACCCATGACCTTACGGTTGCGAGTCTGAGAGCTTGACCACTAAGCCACCAACGTACTCTCCACATTTTTACTGTATAAGGAGAACCATACCTTCCAGTTTCATCATGTTCTTCTCTATAGTCGCCACACAGGAGGCACATGTCATGCCGCTGATGTTGATGTGGCACTTGGCGACGTCGTCGGTGTCAGCTGCAACAGGTGACACCAATTCATTGTCACTGATAGAACGCGCTAAATGCACTTTGACCTTTGTAGATTTAGATGGTGAAGGCTTTGCAGAAGCTGAAAAAGTTTGAGAAACGACAATTCAGTTTTTATTAGTGTCAGTAAAAGTTTTACAGCACTTGCAACACAAGCAAATCATATAAGGAACGGAGATATTACTGGAGGAATATAGAACATTGATAGAAAAGAAGGACCAACTTACACCAGACCACCCACAATGACAATCACAATGAAATCACTTGTACTTTCAGATTCAGATTCTTTATTTATCTGTCCATTCATCCAACATCCATCAATCTATATATCTTTTTAAATTCTTCAATCAGATTTAATGACTTGCGGAACTTTCTCTCATATGCTGTCAAAAATACACTCATTAACTCAAATACACACTCCTGTGACACATAAGAAGAAAATTGATACTTAGTCCAACCCATAGAAACTTCTGCACACACAAACTTGTTCCCACAACAACAGAATATATAAACTTGTTTTAATGCTTTCATTTGAACTTTAAAAAATTTTATTTCAAATTTGATCTAAAACATGAGAACTTGGAAATAAAAGACAACACAATTTTTAGACATAAGCACTATTTTGTTCCTTAAATTTGAGCAGAGAGTTGTTGAATTGCGGCATGAGGATGGAATGGCACATTGTAGACAACACCACAGTACCTACCAATCACCCTTGAAGTAAACAAAAAGGTGAGGCATGAAACAAAAACAGTAACGAAAAGGAAATAGGCCAAGATAAAAGAGGGACCAGGCAGACCGAGAAGGAAGAATTTGGGTGGAGGGATGATTATGAATGAAGTGAAGGGAGAAAAAAAGGGAAAAAAGGACAGTCAGAAAAGAAATGAGGAAAGAGAGAAGTATGGAGAGAAAGAAAGTACATAAAAACTGAGGAAAACAGCCACAAAGTACAGGTATATAAAAATTAGGAATAAAAGCACTCATTTCAATGACTCATCCATGGGTAAACAACTGTAGGCCTTAGTCAGGAGCAGAGGCGAACTTTAACACAGCATCCATCTTGTGACTGTCAAATTGTCCCACTTGTTTAAGGAGAGAAGATACCCATCTGAAGGAGACATTTGGAAACAATTTCCCCCTACTCAAGAATAATTTCTCTGTAAACCATCACTTAAAGAGCTGGATTGTACTGAAAGAGAGAAAAGTACAATTCCTACCAAAATTGAAAATACTCTAGTCAGTATAAAAATATAAAGTTCCTTCAAAATTGGAATGTGGCCGCCTGAAGAAAAGGGGCCAACTATGAAATAGAAAAATTTGTGACAAACTTCAAAATCAGATGCACTGCAGAATGAAGGACCAAAAGTCGACTAACCCCGAGATCTAAGGAGGAACTTACTGAAATTGAGCTTAAAAGGGTATACACCCAAGGACAGCGGGATGAATGACAACAACAATAACAACGGAAACAACTAGAACCCCTAAGAAACAAATGCCACCTCACCTGTTGACAGCGATGCATCAAATCCCATGTCATCGATCATCTCCACCAGCTGTGCAGGGGTGACCGTGTCAGGAAAGTACTCAATGACACCGTTCTGGTCAGCCAGAGACACTCTGATCTCCTTCACGCCCGGTTTCGGACCAATGTTACCCTCGATATTTTTCACGCACGAATTGCAAGTCATGCCGTAAATGTTGACCACTGCGGTCTGTGTGGACTTAGGCACACTGCTGCTGCCGTTGACTCCGATAAGATTTACAAAGCTTCCAACTGAAGGCTCCCCGCCATTATCCGCAGCAACAGCTGCATCAAATCCCATGTCATCAATTTGCTCCGCTATTGCTTCTGGGTCAGTGAGGGATGGGTTAAAGGTTACTAGAGCCTCTTTGTCTGTGAGGCTGACGGTTATGCTTACTATGCCTGGTTTTGTGGCTATGTTACCCTCAATATTTCGCACACATGACTGGCAAGTCATCCCTTCTACAGAGATGCGAGTTCTTGCATTGTTCGTCTGTGGTGTACTAGGTGTCAGAGGGGAAATGAGTGTCGCATCAAAACCCATATCATCAATAGCTTCTGCCGCGTCCGCCGGTGAGATCTTAGAGACATCGATGAGAAGACGAGCAAGTTTCTTCTCCAGTGATACAGAGATGCTTTTAACACCAGCCTGCTTGGAAACATTTCCCTCAATATTTCGCACGCATGACATGCATGTCATGCCCTCCACAGCCACCAGCACCTCGACACTCTCCTCCTTCGCATCGCCTCCTTCGATGAGAGGCGCGGCCTCCTGAATGTCCTTGACCATGACTGGAGCGTCACCAGATGTCACGGCCTCAGCAAGAATCTGTGGGTTGGTCTGAAGCGGACTGTACTGGATGTCGGCCTCGTGAGTCTCGATGCTCACCTGCAGAGAGAAATGTAAAAAAAGACAAGGGGTGAAACAGAGGAAATAATGATTAGTGAGAACAAAATTTGCGAAAAAAACCATCTTAATGCTATTTGATTTAAGAGTTCTATGCCTCTCTTCATGCAATGTACACTACCAAAAACTTCTCTGCAGGATAAGTAGTTCAACAAAGAGTGAGTGACTCTGCTTTAGATTTAAATTGACAGGAGTGTTGAATTTACCAAGAACAGAAAATAACTTGGAAAATCAAGAGGAAGTGAAATTTTAAAATTAAAATAAAGAAAAGATTGACTTTGGAAATTGATATTAAAGTGATATCTTTCAAAAATTTATACTGTACTTAAACTATAGCAAAAGGATTACATTGCCATAATAATATGTAACATCATGAAAAGAAGAAGATGACAACGATAAAGAATAACATAGACATCAGGATGATAACAAGGAATTCATTTATTTTGCTTGTGAGTAAAAACAAGCAAATTCTCACAATAATGGTCATTTAGTGCTAAGAGTAAGTTTTAGTTTTAGTAAGAATTTTACGGAACTTGCAACACAGGTCAAATAAGTGCCGAAGAATAGAGGTGTTGCAAAAGAGTAACAAACACAAAAAAGGAGCAGGAGAGACAGGAATCGTAGAAGTTTGAAAGGAAAAGAAGGAGCAAACCACACCAGAGCACCTGCCAACCACCCACTCAGTAAGAGTAAGACAGACAAGAAAAAGAGAAAAAAGTAGGACCTACCAGTGGTGCCCTCCAGCCACCCATACTAAGTTCCATGACTACTTAACATTACGAAAGTCACATTATACAACAAACACATTAAGGGAGGAGGAGGAGGAGTCACCCTAGCAAGAGTAGTGATTGACATGATGATGGAAAACAATGGAAAACAAGCCATACAACCATACAAACATACAACCTGTTATAAGCAGAAAAGATCAAAATCAAACGCTTAAAAAATGAAAAAAAAAAATGGGATAAGAATAAAAACCAAACCAAAAAACAGTAAAGACACAAACTGATTAAATGGTCACTTAAAAAAATTTGTCATGTAAACTGAGATATATATTACACTTTTGACTACAAAAACACTTCAAAGTTGTTTTTTTAAGGAAAAAGAAAATGTAAAATGCCTCCAATTTTTTTTTAACATAAATAAATAATCACACAATATTAGTCTCTAAACAAGCATTTTATTCAAGTAAAACATAATGTTCGACTCATTAGCAAACAGTAGAGAGAAACATCTACCTTTAATATCTAAAAAGCCAGCTTCGAAACGGTTATGTTGGCCTACATTTTAACAGTTTAAAATAATAATTAAATTAAAAAAAGAATGTTTTGTATTAAAAACTGATAACTATAAAACTGCATTTTTGTTGTTGTTGTTGTTGTTGTTGTTGTAAATATCTAATTTAAATGAGTGTCAGTAGAAATTCTGGGGAGAAGAAGATGTAACAACAAAAGAAATGCACTCATCAAAATTATTTGCAGACTTAAAAAAAATAAACCATAAGCGCATGAGGAAAAAAAAACATACAACCCCGTTCAGAACACACAAAAACTTTTAATTCCCTTTCTTTTCTTCTTCTTTTGTTTATACTTTACTGTAGTCTTTTAAAGTTCTAAGAGATTGCCCTGTATTTAAAATCATTTTCTACAAACCCTTTTTTATCTTATAAAACAAAAAAAATGTTGACATTGAAGAATACTGTCAACACATTGATAGCCTTTTCTACGGAACCAGTAAAATCACCTTTTTTTTTTTGGCAGTCTTCAGAGGGAAGAAATGTACATTTATTTTTATGTAGTGCCTGTACAAAAGAAGTTTTTTACCATTTAGCATATATAAGGCTATTGTCAGAATAAGCATAGATGTGTATTGCTTTTTAGAGTATGTATATATTCAAATAACTCCAAAGGTTATGTAATTAAATTCCTGCATGTGGTTGAATGATGCATCTGATGTGATATGTACATTTTGTCAGCTTTACTTCTCCTTTCATATTTAATTTTAATGAGAGTAAAACATAATTAATACATAATTTATATTTTTATGTATACCTTCATGTGCTTTTACGGTCCTGTACAGCCCCCCCCCCCCCCAAATACCCCCTGAGATAATAAAGTATTATCTTATCTTATCTCTAGTGGGTGGTCAGGTCTAATAATAATTGTAAATTACATACAGCTTACTTAAGAATTGGAGTGTGCACTGCATGCACACTATTACTATTTTTCTTCTTGGTATTATTATTATCATTATTACTATTATTATTAACATAATCATTATGGTAGCCTATATTACATACTCTTCTTCGTCTACATTTTACAATTTACTATTATCATCATCATCACCATCATTATTATTATTGGCATAATTATCATTATTTTCTTTATTATTGTTTTGTTATCATTGTTATAATTATTATTACTTTCACATCATCATCATTATTATTATTATACATGATTATGATTATCGTTATTATTTTCATTATCATTATTATTATTATCATTATTAGGCCTACTAGATCTAGATCTATTACTATTCTCATGTGCAGGAAAAGCATCTGTATTACATAAATGTAAAAGCTCCATTTTTCCCCCCTCAATGTTAAAGAGAATTACGAGTGTCTCATTACGTTTTGAAGCAGAGCTTTACAACAGGGAGTCTGGGGTGCCACAACAGCTTACACACGAGTGAGCTTTTCAAATTGCGACTAGGCTAACAAATTAATAGTCAACAATAGCACGCACCATGAAACGACAAACGCTTCTTCATTGCGGGTCATTACGTCATTTCTATTTTAAGAAGCCTCACGTCAGGTCGAGAAAGAAAGGTCGGGGACACTGTGATCGGCTGGCCTAAATATTATTATGCCAGAGGAGCTATCTACGCTGCAGTGTCCTGCTTTTCCCTGTTATCATCCTCATTAATTCAGCCGGCGTCTGTGGTGTAGCGGTTAGGCACTCCATTGTCGCACGCAGAACTGAGACTTTCGACTCTCGAGTGGGGAGAATTTTTCTCGAGTACATAATAATTTCATCAACTCGATCTTTCTTTTGGGACATTGTATCCCTCTCAGCCCGGGTTGGCCCCGACAGGCAGGATCGAAGCAGCCCGCCTCCTACGCGATCTAAACCGTGTCGTTCGAAGCGTAGAACATCTATATATCTTTTTAAATCTTAAAAGCCTAATATTAATATATAATCTTGACGAGTTGTGTATGTTGCAATCGCGCTGGTTCCACGGAAATAAAAACTCAAACTGAGTGCACACCTTGAATTATTCCCGTCACGTGCCAAATACATGTAATTATGAAAATTTGTCAATTGTCATCTCTATAAATAGAATTGTTCCTATTTATTCTCCTCCACAGTTAGCCTATAATACTATAGAACTCATCGCCTTTCAGAGAGAGAGAGAGAGAGAGAGAGAGAGAGAGAGAGAGAGAGAGAGAGAGAGAGAGAGAGAGAGAGAGAGAGAGAGACAGACAGACAGACAGACAGACAGACAGACAGACAGACAGACAGACAGACAGACAGACAGACAGAGAAAGGGAGGGGGGGGGAGTAAAATTCACAACTAATGCTAACACAAAATTTATTATGACTGTCCCCAAAATTTCACCCGAGGCGTGAGCTCTCTGTCAGCCACAAAAACAACACAAGTAGGTGTCAAGTATCCCATTAAGCTGTTGTTGATGTTGAGAGTTCTTCATCACAGCGTGTAAATTGGTCGTGATTTATGGTTTTTTTTAAATCACTGTATGTAAATTGGCTGCGATTTATGTTTCAAAAACCAAACCAAACAACAACAACAACAAAACAAGTGCGTAAATTAGTCATGATTTATGTTAAATCAAAGGCTTCTGTGAGTAAATTGGTCTCGATTAATGTAAACAACGGCGTGTAAACTGGTCATGATTTGTGACAAAACAATGGTGTAAATGAAGCTTTTAAAGTTTTCAGTTTTAGTAAGAGCTTTACAAAAATTTGCAACACAATAAGGTCACATAAGTGCCGAAGATTAGAGGGGTTACAAGGGAGTAACAAACATAAAAAAGGAAGTGGAGATATCAGGAAATTAGATATTTGATGCGAAAAAATTAGTAAAAAAAATAAAACCACGCAAGAGCACCCATCAACAACGGGCCGCAGCTCTTAAACTTGTCATGATTTATGTTAAAACAACGGCGTGTGAACTGGTCATGATTTATGTCAAAACAACGGTGTGTCAATTGGTCATGATTTATGTCAAAACAACGGTGTGTCAATTGGTCATGATTTATGTCAAAACAACGGTGTGTCAATTGGTCATGATTTATGTGGAACCATCAAGTTCTCAACAGCCACAGGAACATGTGGAGTTACAGTTACAGTTTAGTAAGAGTTTTACGGCACTTGCAACAGAAATAGGTCACACACGTGCCGAAGATCAAAGTTGTTACCAGAAAGTAACATACCAAAAGTTAAGACGTCGGAAAGAGAAAAGACAAAGGCGATAGACGTTCATAGGAAAGAAGTAGCAAACCACACCCAGAGCCAACCACAAACCGTCAACAAGCTGTTGTTGGTGTTGGAAGTTCTACATCGCGACGTGTTAAGTGGTCGTGATTGCGGTAAGAACACTTTCTCAACAGTCATAGAAACCTGCGGCGTCAACAATTCGTCAACTAAGAACAATTTGGTCCAAAGCCTACTTAATTAAGTTCTTTAGACAAAACAGTTCTGAGGCGACAAATTGTGGTTCGCTCTGGTATATTTTGAGTCGAGATGTTTTGTTTTGACTAAAATGGAGCACATCGATACAATGGTCATTTAAGGCATTTGGGG